AGCCTGTCTTCTGGAATTTCCTTGGGGCTACTCTTCCAAGCAGCCTCTCAGTTAGGTACTCTACACTACTTCAACTCAGGCCTATTTTGCCCCTGCCTAATTTTTCAGGCTGTACTCCTGGCCACTTTGGGATTGGATCCCTTAAGGCTCATGGAGCTGCCTCATCTCTGCAGGGATGTAGCCCTGCAGCTGACTCAGCACAGCCTGCATATGGCTGGCATCCAGGTTATGCAAGCTAGGTGGGAGTGTTGCTGTAGCAGAGCCCTGCCTGTTGTACTGTGTCCTCTGTTGCAGTGCTGGTTGGGTGCACCTGCTTAAACTGTGGGCCTTTGTTCTAAGATGGATCCTTCCCAACTCAGGATATTCTATGATTCTATGCTCTAAGATTATTTCTGGAACCAGTTTTATATGTCCTTCAGGGGGTAGTTGTGCAAAAGCACTTCAGGAGATCCTTCAACAGTTATGTGCAGTTTTACACCAAAGTGTAGGGTGACGTCCGTGCCCATTTCCACAGATATATCGGATAGATAAGGTTTAAAGCAGCAAATATGGATATGAGATTCTTCTATTTGAATGTTTTGGAAGTTTAGCCTTCAGCCAGTGAATTCTGAATGAATCTGGAAAGACACCAAATAAGATGACTGATCAGCTGCTATATGGCATTTGCTATTGCTTATGTTGTTTTTTTGCTCTAGTATTTTACTATTTGTTCATTTATTTCAGCTTCACTGGTTACTGTACAGCGATTTTATGAACATATCTAAGGCAGAAATTGTTTCAGATATTTATGACTCACAGGTACCAAACTGAACATCCTGGGATGCTAGTTTGAGAATAAGTCTTCAGTGGTACATAGATATAATAGCGTGGACTTCTGTTGTAAGAGAAGTAATCAGGGTAGCAGGAAGGCTTTGTAGTTCTGTACTCCACCACTGGGGCATACTCTGCTGTTAATTGAAATACTGTGAAAACCATGAGTTTGATGTCCCAGTTTTTTTCATCTCCCATTTGTTATCTGTCCTGTAAAGTTAAGCATAAAGCTTGTAGGTGTCTTTGTGTAGGCCATTATTGTTTCTTGTGGCATGTAAATTTGCACCTGTCATGAACTGGAATTATGAATCTTGCAACTAGATTGCAAGACCATTTCATAACTAACTTTTCTCTAAGATGAACGGGAATCCTGTGGAATCCTTCTGAATTACAGTTTACATTTGGTTCTCATATGTTCTTGCAGCATTGTACTTTTGTAATGGTAGGTATCTTACAAACTTAGCTAACATCTCTGTGGGACATGTGATCTGCTTCTAGCCTTAGGAATTCATCATTTTTTTGACAGTGTTCAAAGATAAACTTTTACTTCTGACCAGTACCCAAGCTAGTAAAACGAAGCACATTGGATTGGGATTCCCTGCAGTTAAAATACGCACAGGTTTTTTTTTACAGTTAACATAGTGAATCTTTTCCTTCCACTTTACAAAATGGTAAAACGAGAAAGTGTGTAAGTGTGTGTTTGTGGTTTTGATGTTCTGTAACACACAATTATCGAGTCTCTCCTTCAGTGTCAGCAGGAGAGACTCCCATATATTTAAATAATAGATTTAGGTGCTAATAATAGATTAGGTGCTTCTTAGCTAAGAAGCAGCATGATAGAAATGGATGTAGAAGCCTGAGTAACAGACGGCTTTGAGTAGGACAGGGTTTCTGAAGGGCCCAATTTAACATTTTATTTTCCAGAAGCAGTACCACATCCTGTTTACAGATCAAATATGTTTGTCTGGCCAGACTCATCCCTTCTATAAAACACTTGCTCCAAATAGAGCCAAGGCAGGAAATCTACGCATCCCCTAGTGGTACTTGTTTTGAGAGCTTTGGCTATTAGAATATAGTTAGAAAAAGTCTACAAGGACAGCTGTTCTCTGTGGTTTTTAAAATTGCTTATTTAAATTCGCATTTAAATGTTGTGTCTTTTTTTTACTTCTGTCTGTTTGCAGTCAATGTGTCAGACATGTTGAAAACTAAACATATAGTATATAAACATATAGCATATTTAATTTACTACTGTATTCATACAAAAGGACTTTGTTCATGGGTCTTGAAATGAATAACAAATACAGACTGTAATAGTCTGTGATTAGAGACAGAATTGCATGATTTGTTATCTAATCAGCAATTTCCTTCCCACCACATAAAACTGAATGAAAATAATAATAAGAAGAAGACATACATGTTGATAATGATAATGTTGATAATATCACTATCACTTTGTGCCCTGGAAGGTACTCAGTCTGTTGGGAAGTATAGCTAGCAGTTCTGCCAGGTGAATTACTGGAATCTGCCAAGGAGCTGAACCTCTACTTTGGCATTTTTTCTTGTTTTACCTTTATGATAGCACAGTCAAAATGAAGAGTAACTGTCTAAGCAAATGGAATGTTATGCCATGAAAGCCAAGGAACTAATTCCTAGATGAATAATGCTTCTTGATGGGAATGGATTGCTAGGTGCTGAGAGCATTCTCCTGTGTTATCTTGTTTCATTTATCAAGGCCTCATCAGTGACAGATGTGCAGTAAAATATTATTGACTATTTATAATATTTAATGCTGGGCTTTTCTCATCTCTTTCTTTTCCTTGCAAATATGAACTTCTCACCAGTTAGTATGACTTGCAATTGATCTTATCACTACATAGTCACAAGCACAGAGTCACAGAATCTCAAGAGATCACTGAGTCCAACCCCACTGCTAATGCAGGTTCCCTCCAATAGTTCACACAGGTAGGCATCCAGATAGGTCTTGAATATTTCCATAGAAAGGGACTCCACAACTTCTCTGGGCAACCTGTTCCAGTGCTCTGGCACACTTACTATACAGAAGTTCTGCATGTTAGTATGGAACTTCCTATGTTCAAGTTTTAGGCCATTACTCCTTGTCCTATCACTACACATCACCGAGAAGAGCCTGGCTTCAACCATTTGCCTTCCACCTCCATTTTAGATATTTATAAACATTAATCAGATCTCTTCTTAGTCTTCTTTTCCCCAGGCTCAGACCCAGGTTCAGCCCTTCCTCATATGCGAGATGCTCCAGACCCTTTATCATCTTTCAGATCCCCCGCTGGATTCCTTTGAGGAGATCCCTGTCTTTTTTGAACTGGGAAGCTCAGAACTGGACATGGTAGTCTAAATATGGCCTCAGGAGGGCAGAGTAGAGGGGTCTCTATCCTCCCTCAACCTGCTAGCCACATTCTTCTTAATGGACCCTAGGATACCATTGGTCCTCTTGGCCACAAGGGCACGTTGTTGGCTCATGGCCAACCTGTTGTCCACCAGGACCCTCGGGTCCTTCTCCGCAGAGCTCCTCTCCAGCAGGTCAGCCCCTAATCTGTACTAATTCATGTGGTTATTCCTGCCCAGGTGCAAGACTCTCTACACTTGCTCATGTTAAACCTTCCTCTCTGCCCAACTCTCCAGTCTGTCCAGATCTTGTTGAATGGTAGCACAGCCTTCAGATGTATCAGCCAATCCTCCCAGCTTTGTATCACCAATAAATTTGCTGAGTGTGGATTCTATCCCTTCATTCACTTTGTTGATCAAGATGTTGAACAAGACTGGAACAAGAACAGAGATACTTAGTTCCAACCAGACTCTGCACCACTGATGGTAACCTCTGAGCTCTGCTAGTCAGTCAGTTCTCAATTTAATTGGAATATGTAAGTAGAAGTCTTCTTTCCAAGGAGATCAAAATCAAACCTAGTAAAGGATGGATTTCCTCACAACTGAAGTGCTACCAGGTAATGTATTGTGGAGGTTATCTACACATCTTAATGGAAAACTCAGCAAATCAGAAAGTGATACGAAACAACCATAATGAAGAAGAAATAAATACACAGATATTCCTTTTAAATGCAGTTCAGATCAGGTCTGTGTTGCGTTAGCATGCTTTGGTCTCAACCTATGCAGGCATCCTACTTTGCAAACCTTCAAAGGAAGAATATATTTTAGCAGTTCAATACATGGCTAAAACAAGTTTGCAAAGTCAATGCAATGTGGGTTTTTTTGTGTATTTTCTCAGTGCTCATGTAGTATTTAATCTCCTCCATGTTGTACTCCAGTTTTAGGCTGCATTTTCTATATATTGCTTACGTTTCGTTTCCAAGATGACATAGGTTTTTGTTTTTTTGTATTACACATACTTTTACTCTCCTAACCTTTTATCCTTACTGTTTTCCAAAATGGATATTATTGTATAGATTTCCTTTAATCTGTCTCCATGCTAATTTTAATTATTTTTGGACGAAGGAATTCTATCACACGTTGCCAGAAACACCTTTACTTTTATGCTTTGCCACTAAAATCTGAAGTACAGTAATAAACCTAAATTGATGTACTTTATAAAAATCAGGTTCTTACTGATTGTAATAGCATGGAATTTCACATAATGCATGCCAAACTGATTTTAAAGGGCCACTTCACCACGGTAAAGACCCGTGCCTGTATCTGTAAGATGGAGCCAAAGAAATTGTTTCTAGTTCTAAGTAAAGATTTCATTTTAATACTGAAATGCTTTCCATTTCCTTGGAAGGTTAATTTTGTGTCTATTACTGCCTATAAGAGATTTAAAATAACAGGAAAAAAAGGAGTGTTCTGTTCTACTCAGTAAACACTACATTTTTTCAGCTAGCATACTCTTCATAAGATGAAGCTTGCAAATTAACCAATTATTTTGTTTAATTTTTCAAAACATTTTATTACTTTGCCTTAAATGGAGTAATATAGCTCTGTATGGAGTGTAATTGAGAGGAAAAAAAGTGTAATGTTCCTCACTGGGAGGTATTTGGAGGTAATATATCTTTAAGTGTCTCCGCCTCTGAGTCCACCCACTTCTTGATAGCTGCAGCAGTCTTGTTGACTCATAAAAGCTGTGTTCATACAATAGCCGACAATGAGCAGTGTTTTTCAGAGATTCTCAGAGTACACCTTCTGCTATGCATTTTCCATTCTAGGTTGCTGGAACTGAAGGTATATGGAAGAAGGAGTTCTAAGTTTCTGAGATATTGCAAAAGATAGTTCCTCCTCTCATCCTGGAAAATCCTGACAGACCAGTTGGATACCTTTCAGGCCTTAACTAAGGACTTTATCTGTTCATCCCACTGTCTTTTGTACTGTAGAAAGACCCAAGACACCCTTAAGAACTGAGAATCTGACTAATTTAAACAGATGGCTAATCCCAGTGCTGTCTGTAATGGACATCTACATCATCATCACCATCAGAAACAGAATAACGTCTTAAAAAGTGGAGTCTGTAAGAAAAATGGAATTACCAAAGGAGTTAAGGTAAGATTTGGCTACTCACTGTCTCAGTTCTGAAAGTAGTCACAACGTTGCTCGTTAAGGTAGTTTTATGAAGGCTTTGGTCTCCATTGCACAGGTGGTATGGCATTGGCTTGCGTGCTAACTCTTGTAATCTCAGGATGTGATACTGCATATTTTTTGTTATCTTACTGCAGTAAAAGTTGTGAATGCTCATGCAACTTATTTTATTAACTACACTCTAGTTTGTAACAGGGACAACAATCTGAGGGGGAGCAGTTTCCTTTTAAATCTTAATCGATTCTGGAGTTCACTATGCAATGTACAAATCACCAGTGGGAAGCTGAGTGTGTGTAGAGAGGTTTTCAAAAAGAGAATTATTGTTGTACAAATATAACCAAAAAAATGTAGGCAGGAGAAGCTGCCTTCCTGATGTGTATGTTGCTGCATGGTTGATTTAATACCTGCTTCACTGGTGTCTGCTTTACAGCCTTTTACAGCTTAAAATCTAAGTCTCTTTTCTCAAGCTGTTTTCATTCAAATCAACACTTCTCATTTACGTGAGCATTTTGTAGAACAGTGGGTGTATCGCATCTCTAAGAAAAAACCACAAAACCAAAGATATTCCTTTGCCAGAAGAGCCTAGTTCTTGAATGTAAGTACCTCTCTGCAGTACCTAATCTGCTTGGGAATCTGTCTTAAAGCATCCCAATTCTGCATCTTGTTGTTGTCATTAATAGGAACTCTTGTAGCGATTAAGGAGAGGTTGGCTTTACAGCATGGTGTGATGGTTAAAGGCGAATGGAGAAGTTACTTCAGGAGCCTCAGTGCTCACCTGATCATCTCTGTTCAGAGCCTGTTGAAAGCTTTAGGCAAGAAGTGTGGCAAGGGCTTCGCTATTTTACAAGTAAACTGCTATCCTATATCTTTTATAAATGGAGCTCTCACGCACCTAGCACTGCTAATGAAGGCACGCCCAGTGTCAAGCTTAACGATTGTCTGGCTTTAGGTGTCTCCCTTGGTATGGGTGTTTCCTGATCACAGGCTTGTGTGGGATGAAAAGAGCACAAAACCTTGTGCAATGATAAAAAAGGCCTTTCTTGGAATCTGCTTTCAGAAAGCTAATCTAGCTTCTATCTCCTAATCTTTTTATATTTTATTATTTGCCACTATGATGCCAGAAATCTTTGTTTTCTGTTTGATTAGCAAATCTCGAGGACTAAGCCATGTTACTCATTTATTATTAAATGCTATACAGTAGCAGTTTTTAAAGAACTCACAGGGAGGAGATTAATTAGGATTTCCTCCTTAATAGAAAAGACATGTCTGGAGAAGTAAAGAAGAATATTAGTAAGGCTGAGCAAAAAGAAAAGAAAGACTGGGCTGAAAGGGAAGACAATTAGAGAAATTCTAGTAGATGTACCTGCGGAATTAGTGAAGTTCTACAAGCACCATGTGGTTGGAAGGGAAGGGGAGAGATGTGCTCTTGGCTGAGGAAGTAGAGTTTTAAGAAGTTCAGGAGAGTTGTCAAAAGCTGATTTGATAAATCCAAGTCTCGCACTGTGTTACAAATTACTTGCCGTTTCCTTCCCTTCCTGCTTCTAATGCAGACTGGGAAAGAAGGAAACAATAACAGACAAGAGTCCTGTATGAAACAGGAATCTCACTCCCGGTAGGAATCTCCCCATTCCTGTCTGGTCTGTTTCCCCACCCCAGCTGCCTCACCCTGTTTGGTACTTATGCTTTATCCTATTTTACAGGAATAGATACTGTTCCTTCTTACCTGGTCTGTTTACATGGCTTACTGCTGAAGGTGTGCAACATCACAGTCTTATGTTTGCAACACCCTGCTGAGGCATACTCCTCCATTTACAGCTGGGATCTGAGGAGCAGCAAAAATGGTAGCTGGGAGCGCAGTTAAGTCTGTGCAGGAACCAGAAACAGTTTTGTCATGGTTTCAGTCTTCCTCCGTGTTGCTCTGATTTCCCCTAATACTGTGCCAAGGACTCACACACGTACATATTTTTACTGCCTATTCAGATTATTTCACCTGTAAACAGTTCTAATGCTGTGGGAAATACAGTGCTAGAATATTCAGGTTGAGGCTGATGATATTGATTCTAGCACTTGAGACTTATGGCAGTTTTTAACTCCTGGGCTTAGTTTCAGGTGTGTTATATTGCAAGTTGGAGAGGAAAGAGACAGGTAGGTGTTCTGGTCTGACAAAGGATGGTGCTGAGGCTGCAGTAAAAGTACTGTACAGTGAAGCCTTCTAAGCTAAGAGTGTGTAGCAATAGTTGGCTGCAGTTGGCTGACTAGAACATCAGGCTTTACAGAAGGTGGCTCAATAAGCCTTTTTTCTAGGGAGCACACAGAAAGCACTGCACTGGAGACGCTGCCTTTGAAAACAGTCTCAAGGAATGCATTTTAATGATGTAAGAACATTTGTGTGCAGACATGCATGACAGAAAGAGAAACAATTCTGATGCAGCAAAGCCTCCAATTTTCTGAAATAACAATTTTGTTTAACGGAATGTGGAGGGTAAATAGGGATGATCAAATGCAGGGGAGCAGAGAGGCTGCTTCTAGCAATCTGTAGCATATCAAGGAAAGTAAAGGAGGTAGCTGCATAATAAAGATGAACTAAAGCGTTCTGCCAGAAGAGATGCTGTTGCTTTTGGGGAAGAGGTATGCTACTTTAGTGGAGAGAGACCACTTTGAACAGCTTCTGAGATTATTTTAATATATATATTATTATATTTTAGATACAAGAAATATTATATTCTATTACATTATACGTAATATATAATATTTTTTGTCTGAGTGCTTTGGTTCTGGCTGGTAGCATTCATTGGAAGCTAGACTACAGTTAGACCCAAGATTTCCCTTGTGCTTTTAATCCAGAATCTGAAACCCGGTCTGGTCATTCTGTAAGGCACAATTCAGTAGCTAGCCTATTTAGTTATCTAACTGTAGTAGTCAGGAAAGGTCCAGCTGTGGTTTCTTCTGCTATTGTGTTTCTGTTTATTTTGAGTGTCAGTTGTAGGGGATATCATATTTTAAAACTATAGGTACGTTTGACCCGATGGGAACTTTATTTTTTCTATGATATGCATTCAACAATTGTATTTATTTGATAGATCATTTCCTTGGATGCCTTAAAGATCCTCCAAGATAGAATGAAGCTATTCATTAGTTGTTTGGGGTTTTTTTCCCCATTCTACACTAAGAATGCTGGGAAGAAATTTGCAGTGAACAGGCTACCATCTTCTTCACAGATTTCAAACTATTCTGATAGCAGAAAGGAGCCCAGGATGATGTCAAACTCAGAAAACCTCGCTTATTTGATAGCCAGAAGACATGATGACCTCTGGCATGTGGGTGCTCTAAAATTCAGAGGCTGATTATATTTACCTTTTGTCCTTTGGCATCTGGTCTTCCTCCTAACCTTTTTACTCTCCTATTAATTCAGTACTACAGCAGTCATCCTCGGTCTTTTCAGTGTTTTTTCCTTCTATGCTTTTCTTCATCTCTTTTCTGCACTGCAGCATAACTCACTTTCTAACAAAGATTTTGAAGAAAACATTGTTTAAAAAAAAAAAAAAACAAACACCAAACAATGAAAAGAATATGCCATGCAGCTGTTCTCATTGAATTCATTTTCTTGTATATTCTGAATGCCTCTTCTAGTTGTTCTCTGTGGTGTACTCTCACGTATATATATTGCATTCGCTTCATATGCTTTTTTAGTAGTTAGTATAACTGGAGCACTTTGGAAGCTTAATATAAATATTAATGAGCCCTGTGGGGGGAAAAAAAATAAATTGATTCCTGCAATTACTGTGGTACGATAAGACTTATTAATAAGGGAAGAGAAAGGAGGGAGGGCTTAAAGCTGATCAAACAACAACTTTTCCAAGTTTGTAGCCTCATTGTGCAACTGTAATGATCAGAATAGAACTTTTCTTTTTCTTCTTGAAGTATCTTTTACTGGTGCTGTTTGGGGTAAAAAAAAAAAAAAAAAAAAAAAAAAAAAAAAAAAGGAGACTTTTTTGACCCCATCCTGGCTCATTTCTGACCCATAAACCTTTAAGACTTGTTCGCTTGTGCATGTACTGATGGAAAGCAGTATCCCCATAAGAGTTGTATAGCTGTAGTGACAGACAGCAAGATGTTAAGAGTTGGTTTCCAGTCTGCATTCCCTACCAATTACTTTACCTGTTGCTTCCGTGACACCATAGACATGAGCTCCTCATCCTTAGTTCCTGACTTTTCAGTTCCAAGCTCCAGAAATTTGTTGGTTTGTACCAGCACTCTCTGCCATTAATCACAGGTCTCAGATCCACACCCTTGTTTCTGTCATCTGCCTTGCTATGTGATGAGCTCAATGCTTTGGAAGCAGGAAATGTTGAAGTCAATCTTCAGCAAGCTGAGATGTGACTAGTATGTAAGCACATGTAACAGTAAAGGACTCTTGTAGCAATGATTTAATTACGTTGCATTAGATTTTAATATAAGTCTAGAGATTTTTTTGCATAGGACAAATAAGTTTTCAGTAGGACTGGAGTCACTATGCTGTTAGCACCTGGAAATACCTATATTCAGGTAATTAACTTTTGAAAGTTTAAGCCTTAGGAAAAACACTGTGTATTTATTTGCTTTGGTTTGAGAGGCCTAGCATGCAGAAAAGCAAATGGTAGTTCAATGGGAAAAAATGAGCTTAAGGAAGACATCAGGTCTTTAAGGACAGCCTATTCTTAACACAAGAGCAGTTCACCACTGTACTTGTGAAATGTAAATGTACCAGGAGACTGGCTTAGCTAACCAGTTAACCTATGACTGACCTCTGGTGCAACCAGGCAATCCACAAGAGACTAAAGCAAAAACAGGTTACAAAGGAGGACATGTTTGAATTGTGTTAGGAATGTCAGATTTCACTTGGTGTTAACAATTGCAAAGGATATCAAGAGAAGCAAGAAGAGCTCTTAGTGCTGCATTTCTAGTAAATAAATAAATGTTGAGAA